GTGTGACATAGCTTTTCTGTAATTTTCCAATTAAAAAAAAATTGGTGTGCATTACTTGTTTAATGAGGAAATGAGGGAATTTTTTTTTAACTTAGGAAAAAAAGCATTCCGCAAGGATTTCTATTGAGTGCTTATTTATTCCATTCTAGATACTGAGAGTTAAAAAGCTTTTAAAAAACTATTTCATAACTCAGATTGTTTTTCTCTACCGATGATTTGGTGAGATGTTATAATGTTTTTATAACATTAACACTTTACAGTTTATAAAAATTTTAATACATTCTTTCATTCTAAAAAATCGGCATCAGATGGATTTTTTACTTCATTTATATGCACAAATGGATGAAAGTGCAAAGGTTAACACTCGGTGTTATGTGTTGAAACCGTAGCTTCATTAATGTCTGCTCTGTGGAGCAGAGTTGGAGACCAAGGGCACTGAAGGCTGCAGAGCAGAGCCTGGCCTTTGCCAGGGCTGCTAACAGACCACATTTTGTGGGACAGCCTCAGCTCCTCTCATAGGAGACTGATGGCCTAAATAGATGCCTTGGGGAGCCTCCTTGGATTAAAAATACCTAGCATTATCTGGCTGCTTTGAATTTTTTTTTTTTTTTTAGCGGTTAGGTGTAGGTGTGAATTGAGGCTTGGAAGTGGCAAAGTCTCTGGATATCCTCAGGATGGGGCTTAGACAGAAGATTATAGTTTATAGATTTTATAGTTTATAGATGATAGTTTATAGATTTTATAGATTATATGTTCCAGTCTTAACAAAATTTGCAAAGGTACCACAATTAAAGGCAGGTGCATTTAAATTGACTTTTCTTTTTGTAGAGCCCTTTTTTTAAAAAAGTAAAAACTATGCTTTTCTTTCTCACTTAATATTTAGAAATACATTCAAAGGGACTTTTTGTTGTTGTTTTTAAGCCAGAGGAAAATGACCTTGTTTGTAATATGACTCTGTCCCTATTGGCCAGTGCCCAACCCCCTGTTCTTTCTGTCATTGGGAAATATATGCAAAGGAATAGGGATGGGAGTGGTCATTCCCCTGGTTGCCTCCTGAGGGTTAGTCTGTTTTAATAGAAGGTTCTGATGTGTGTATAAAACAGTGGCGGGATTACCACAGCGTTTGGTAGCCCAGCTCTGGAATCAGGAAAGCAACATCAAAAACTAGGGCTCCTCCAAGTATTATGCTAAGCGAAGTCGGAGAAAGACAAGTGTCACATGATCTCACTCATATGTGGAATCTAATGAACAAAATAAACTGATGAACAAAATAGATCCAGAGACATAGAAGCGTAGGTGGGGCGTGGGAAGTAATCAATAAAAAAACTTGTATGCATATATGCATAACCCATGGATACATACAATAGGGTGGTGAAGGCCTAGGGTGGGAGGTGGGGTAGGGCTAGAAGGGGTCAATGGCAGGGGAAGGGGCACATATATAATGCTTTCAACAATAAAGATTGAAACACACACACACACACACACACACACAAACACAAAACTGAGGCTCCATTCTAGTAGTCTCATTTCATGGTGTTAATGGGATCAGTTCCTCCAGTCTGCTGTGTGCCACTGTGTGCCTTGATAAGTAAGCCAGTGTAGGCTGCCCATGAATTCTTCATAATGGGATTCATCAGCACACTAAAATGATAATTAAGAACTGTGCAGCCCTAGCCGGTTTGGCTCTGTGGATAGAGCGTCGGCCTGTGAACTGAATGGTCCCAGGTTTGATTCCGATCAAGGGCACATGCCCGGGTTGTGGGTTCGAACCCCATTGGGGGACTTGATGGAGGCAGCCGATCAATGATTCTCTCTCATCATGGATGTTTCTATCTTTCCCTCTTCCTTCCTCTCTGAAATCAATAAAATTTTTTTTTTTTTTAAAAGAACTGCAAAACTGTAAGGCCTTTTTTCTTTTTCTTTTCTTTTTTTCTCTTTTAAATTTTTCTTTACTTTTTTAAAAATATATTTTTTATTGATTAAGATATTACATATGTGTCCTTATCCCCACGTTACCCCCTACCCCCCCAACCCCCCGCTCATGCCCTCACTCCCCCCCCCCCCCCTTGTCTGGATCCCTTGGGTAAACCTATATGCTT